TACGTAAAAAAGTTCGTATAAATGTATGTCCTAAAATGCTTAGTTTCGGAAATACAGGGTGTAGAAGTTTAATTTTTATTTCGATTTTTCCAAATAATTTCTTAAGTAACGTTAATATTTGGATGAAATTTGGTGACTGGGAGTTTTTTGACATGAGAAATTTGATTTTGATATATACTCCTACTTGTAGAGGGCGCTACCTATATTTTTTAATTGATTTCAAGATTAATTACTTTTCGTCCGTACCTGTATAAAACTACTGAGTAGAAAATATACATTTACGACATTTTTTACGTAAAAAAGGTCTCTTGGTAAAAATCGCTACGAGTAATGGTTTTCGAGATATTTGGAATTGAAATTATCAATACATGTCGTCATTGAAATTAAACAGGTTGACTAAATAGCTATCAGACAAATTATAAATTTGACATGTTTCGGTGCCAAAAGTTCGGCAGAAACAGTTTTATCATTTTCTCGAAGAAAAATTTATGATTAATTTAAAAAATATGTTTCCAAATTTATCATTTCAGTCAAATCTACTACGATTTCCATTCTAAATATCTTGAGAACGGTTGCTCGTAGCGATTTTTACAAAGAGATATTTTTTACGTAAAAAATCACGAAAATGCATATTTTTTCGCTCAGTAGTTTTATACAGGTACGGACGAAAAGTTATTACTCTTCAAAACAGTTAAAACATATGTAGGTGGCGCCACCTAGAAATAAGAGTTATATTGACATCGAAATCAAATTTCCCATATCAGAAAACCCCTAGGCACCAATTTTCATCCAAATATTGACGTTACTTCAGAAATTATTTGGAAAAAATCGAAATAAAAACGAAATTTCTACACCCTGTATCTCCGAAACTATAAACAAAAATCTATTTTTATAATATCAATGTGACACCAAAATAAGAACAATACCTAAATTATTAATCCATATTTTATTATATTAATGAGAAAAATTCATGCGACTCTAGTGCTCTATGGTTATTATCTATTTATTAATAAATATTTGTTTTTTTTTCTCCATTTTTTGGTCTTGTATATTTTATATGCTTTTATTTAATAATTTTTTAGCTTAATAAATAAACTTACGTACGATATTAAGCCATAAAGCATTGAAAATGCAAATTTTTAGTGAAATAAGTTCCAATGCGAACCGTGCTTAATAAATTAAAAATAGTGTATATATAGCTTTAGCCCCGCTTCTACATTTTTGATCTATGGTGTCGATATCAGAATGACAGTTGTGTAACAATGGCTTCCTATTTATTCAATTTTCGTTGAATTTCCAGTAATTTACGATTTTTTTCTTGGAAAAAGTGATAGTGAAGTATTTTTCCTGTATGTATTTTGCAGAGGAACCTTTTGTGAATCTCTTAAGCTTGTAAGTACGTTAGTATAATTTTTATTTAGATATTTTTATGTCGAGTAAAATCGTTGGAAACTAAGCATTTTAGGACATACATTTATACGAACTTTTTTACTTATCTTTATCTGCAGAATATGCTGCCGAAGTTTCCGGAATACAGTTTGAACCACCCCGTATTTTTTAATTCAGTATAAAGTATAGTTTCAGTGCTTTAAGGCTGTTTTTATTATTTTTGTTATACGATAAATTTAAGAACCTTTAATATCTGAATCTATCAAAATATCCTGAAATTTCATAAAATTTTATATATTACCTCCTGTAAATTTCAGTTGCCTCTGACCTATAATAAAGAAACTTTATATGTTTGTCTAGCTTTGAAAGGTTACTATAATATCGGAAATATGTACTGTCTTTAAAAAAATCGAAAAACAAAATAAAAGTTACCTTATTTGGCGTCATTCATTATTCATTTAGATAAAACAAAACAATAGTACTAATGATATTATTAGCAGGAAAAAAACAAACGAAACTTGTAGTTTCACAGGAATCTGAACACATATTTTTTTGAGAACGCATCTATCGTGTTGCGGGAACTTGAGCCAAATATTTGTTTAGTTCGGATCAGCTTGTTTCAGATTTGTGGTGATCTGTGTTGATAAACATTCCGACAACTGGCGTACGTAACTAAACAATTAGATATATTCTAGTGGATATGTTTAAAACACTTTTTAGTCATTGGGATATATAAAATCGTCACCTTTTTAATGGATAAATTCTTTAAAAATACTTTCAAAAAAGCTGTTTTTATTTAAGGCAAAAGCAAGTCAAAATTTTGAATGATATAATTATCTAAATTTTAGTCATAAAAACGTTTTTTTTTTATTGAAAAATGAATTAAGAAAGCCTCAAGATATTAATAATTTAGAGCTTAAATGAGACAAAAATGGGTGTTTTATTTTTGGGAGCATAAATTTCAAGATCGTAAAAAGTGTTTTAAAAATTAAGCATTTCATTATTTTGAATTGTTGATTGTCTTTAAATAAATCGTAACAATAGACGTAAAATTATGAAAGATTCGGCTGTTATAGTAAATTTTATAGAGATTTCGAAAATGTAAGCATTAAAAAGCTTAAATGCTTTGGTTTTGTGTTAAAATAGATTTTTTGAGTTCTTGTTTCTTAACCATATTTTATGATGGTTAATAATTGACCTACATTTGTGAGAAAATGGCCTATATTTTCTTACGCCTTTTAGTTAGTAAATAATAGCAGTTTTAACAAAATCGATATATGGAAAAAAGTCGAAAAAAAAACTATATTTTTTACTCATTTTCAAAGCTCTTAGAATCATAGTAAACATAGTTTTAAAATTATGAAAATATCATTATTTGTAGGAAATTTTATGTAGATGCAAAATATATACACCTTTAATGACGTAGATATTTTGGTTTTGTGAGAAAATTATTTTTTTGGACCCTTGTTTTGAGCTATTTTTGATGATGGTTAAAACGTCTCCTACATCCATTACTGGTCTCGTAAGACTACAGTGGCCTATATTTTCTTATTCTACGCTTTTTAATTAGTAAATAACACCAGTTTTATCAAAATCGGTGACATGAAGAAAATGTATGAGAAAAAGTCGAAAAATTGGCGATTTTTGGCCTTTTGTTAATCCATTTTCAGAGTTCGTGAAATCATAGTAAACATAGACAGAAAATTCTGAAAATTCATGAATTAAGAGGAAATTTTATGTAGAATTAGAAAATGTAAGCGTTAAGAGGCTTAAGTGCTTCCATTTTGTGAGAAAATTGATTTTTGGAACCGTAGTTTCTGAACGATTTTTGTTGGTAGATTTTTAATATAATATAATATTAAACTAAATTTGAAGATAACTGCATTCCTTTTGAAACACTCTTTAATTAGTTCTTTAATGAGAAATATTAATTGATCGAGTCAAATTACTAGAGTTGCCATCTTTGATAAAGGATGTAATTATAAGTGTAATTATCCTTAAGGAAAATTACAGTTGAACTTTTAATAATAGAATTGCTTGCTAATTGAAACGTTTCGGGCATTAAAAATTCAATAAAAAGGTACAATTTTGCAAAGTGGCAATTCGTAATTTGCCTCGTTATATTTTCCTGCCTTCGGGGATCATTTTTTTTTTCATCCTAAAAGGCCAGTTTTTTTTCAATTCTACTCTGGTAGCTCGACCTTTGCTTATTTTCTGCTCGGCGTAAAAACTTTTTGATAATTCACATCTGCCTTTAACAAGCTTACACGAAAAAGGGACCTAGATTGGGTAGCCCTTTATCCCTTTGTGGGCTGCTGGAAATGTTTAAATTGGGCTTTCGTATATTCTGTCTCGTTTAATATTTAAATGAGGACTTAATAAATGGCTCGTATCGATTTCGCATCTAAAGAGGTATAAAAAAGCATGAAATATTATGCCCCATTTCTAATTTATACGGTTTATTTTTAAATGGTTTTATATCCTTCGTTTTGTGTCACATTATCAAACGTTTTACTGCATGTTTTACAGGCAAGAGGCAACAAAGCAATGAGATTTTTGAATCTGGAGTGCGGTAGACAGATAACATCACGTATCGGGCTTTTCAGTCACAGAAAAGCTCATGAAAGAAAACGCCTTGCGTGACCCATCTTCTGATGCGTGTCAAATACTCGTCAGCGAGTAATGGCGGTAAGTAAAACAAACAATAATATTTGTAAATGCGCTTTTTTTGAAACGGTGTTTTCAGAAATCTTACAAAAAAGTTGATATCGAAATCAATTTCTGAAAATTTCAAAGTTTGTAGGACATTTTATGTAGATTTAGGAAATGGGGACATAACAACCCCCGTTTAGAAAATATTCTCACATTTTTTGCTTGAGGCTTTCTATGACAGCTCTTTTCAGTTTCGGTTAATCCAAAAAAATTTCTCAAAGCAAAAAGTAAAGTCTTCGTTGTAAATTAAATTGTTATATGTCGTGTTTTCAAGGCATTACTTCACGTTCTCATAAATTATACAATAGAGAACTTGCCCTAACATTATCATGGTAGTGACAGTGTAATGAATAGCTTAAAGCTAAACGCCAGTAATCAATTAGGAACTTGGATAGATATGTTAAAAAATACTACATTTATCTTTTAAATATTTAATAATCTTTTCTACTTTTCTGTTTCTTTTTTTTCTGAGGAGCTCTTTGGTATCGTTCGCCTCAAAAAAGTTCTTTAAACGTATCTTTTGCTACTACAGGGATGATTTTTTTTTGACAGCGTTATTCCACCTCAATTACCACAAAGGTATGTCCTAGGCAAAATTGTTTCGGTTTTTGTTTGAAAGTATCATGTGCGATTACAAAGGTTAATATTAAACCTGTAGGCTTAATGTTAATAAAATATGTTTGTAAACCTTTATGTTGAGAAGTTTTCTTTTGATTTAAAAGGTCATCAGACAATATCCTTTGTGTTTTCACTTCCACCATTATTTTTCTGCTTGCCGCTGGGCAAGATTGTTTTGCTAATTATAAATTAAATATCTTTTAACTGTTGTGACATGAAATATTATAAACAAAATCTTATATTACTTAATTTAAAACAAATAATGATGTGGAGTGACTTACCCTAACGTTGTCATTGTGACGATGGTGTACCAGAAGGCTGCTGGGATAGATGTGAACGTCTTGCCCTCATTCTTTTCAGCGTAGAACATGACTGTGGCAAAAATGATGATAGCCATCGCTAGAGAAAATACGAGGAAACCCAGCTCGGAAGCGCACGATTTAAGCGTATAGCCCAAGATCCGAAGACCCTGCGAGTGACGTGAGAATTTGAAGATTCGGAATACCCTGAACACCCTCAACGTGACGAAAGCTCCAGACACATCGTCGTTGTCAGTGATACCCAGGCCTATATAGTACGGTAAAATGGCAACGACATCGATGATGCTCATGACCGAACGAACAAACTTGTATCGGTTAGGAGCAGCGAACATCCGAAGCAGATATTCGGCCGTGAAGATCATAACGCAGGCCGTGTCGAGGCAGAAGAAGACGATCTTGTAGCGCTCGCCACAAGGCAGAGAACCTGCACCTCCAGGTCGGCTACCACATGGCACCGTCTCGACCACGTTGGCCATAACAGAAACGGCAATGAAGAAGCCGGTCACGTAGTAGAATACGAGAGCGGCAGTGGACGTGTGAGGGTTCTCGAAAGCCCGCCACATCTTCTGCCGGATGTTGGTGAGCTGTTGCAAGTGCTGGTCGCCGTTCTCCGAAAGCTTGTCGTCCATCAGTCTTTCCGCGTTTTCGCGCTTCCGATCGCGGTAGTCCTCGTAACAACAGTCACCGATGACATCCGGCAAGATGCCGAAGAACGCGAGTTCCTCATCGTAGCTGGTGAGGCATTCGTGTTTGGGGTAGTGCAGCTTGCCGGTGCGGTAGTAGTTGAGGATGTGGCGGAAGATGTCAGGGTCGCGGTCGAAGAAGTACTCCTTGACGTCCTCGTCGTAGAAGAACTCGCGCTCGTTGGAACCGAGCAGCGTGTCCGGGTACTTCTCTAGCGTGTTCCTCCAGGTCTCGAAGCGCCGTCCCGACACGTTGATGAGCAGCTTCTCGTCGTCGGTCTTGCGGCGGTCCTTGGGCACGGGTGGCGGAGGCAGCGGGTGCGTGGCGATGGGCACCCAGCCGATGGCCGCCGCCCGCGCGAAGGGCAGCCAAGCGGCGACCGAGGCCATGCTGTGCGGCGGAATGTTCGCTGGTGCTGGACCGTTCCGAAAGTGGGTCCTCTAGACGCGCATGGCCCCCCAGGGGAGCGCCACCACCAGGTGACGTGCGTGTGTTCGCGAGCGGTCACGCAGTTGGCCAGCGGGCTGGCGATCTCGGCTCGGGCTCGCACATTTTCACTCTCAACAGTAGCGAGATGACAGATTGGGGGCTGGCAGGAGGACGCGGGGGCTCATGCTGCCGTCGGCGCTTATTTCGATAAACTGTTCGTTGTGGTCAGTGCGGAGCTACAGCCGCCGCGTCTAGGCCGGCCTACGATCGACGCAGACGCCGACGCTCTGCCGTCGCGACGCAAGCGGTCGTCGCTATCGATCAGGAAGCGATATCTATTCGGTGGGTCGGCGCGGCGCATTTTTCCCTAGGTCCCTTTCAAACCGCGCTTTTGCCACGCTCGCAGATGCAAATTTCAATATTTAACTTGGCCAATTGGCCTCATTTACTACTCACCATTATCAAACGCTCCAATCTCCGCTTGTATGCTTAGTCTCGCGGGATTCTCAGAAATTAAGCCGATGATATTCTCAAGGGGTCGCAACAAAATTCACATTTTTAAAGTTTATTTTTCAAATACATACATACTGGACGCAATTTAGAGTTTTGAATAGTTTAGTTTTATAATCAAAACTTTGTTTCATTTTTATTTTATTTTTATTTTAATAACATTGCCATCAATATAGATGCAAATTTCAATATTTAACTTTTAATATCCATTTAGATCAGATTATATTAAATTTTTGAGGTGGTTAACGGCCTGTTCCACTGCGACCTTTTTAGTTGTTTTTGGCCCTCTTCTGATATCTAGGTTACATTTTCCAGTCGTCTCCTTCTCAAAGATCTCTTTGTCAATGACCCCCTCCTATTCTAGAGATTTTTTGCCTACGCACTGTTTTGTGACCTTTCTTGGACCTATGAATGGCATTGGTTTGGCACCCTTGTGATCCTCGTGGCCAGTATAATTATCCATCTAATATAAGACGAGTATATGACTTCATTTTCTTCAACCTCTTTACATTCTTCTACTTTTTCATCTAATTCTTATCTTACTCGCTTCATTCCTCTGTCATTTTTTCTTCTTCATCTTATTCTTCTACTGTAACTTATTTTTAGTTTCTTATTTTAGCTATATGATTTTGTGAATCTTGATAGAGTCTTATATTAGAAATCTAATCATAATTTTACTGGTATTCTATACTTTCGCGTTTATTAAAAATAAGTAATTAGAGTAAAGGTCAAGTTGAAAAAGATTGATGACTCTTATCAATGAAGATAGACAACCTAAATTACAATTTTTAAGAAAAATATTTATAAATAACAGAATGTTTGGATATTTTAATGTTTTATATGAATTTTTATCATGATGCCTAATTCCTAAAAAACTTCGTTTTGTACTGGCCTTTCTTGTGCGAAAAATCCAAAACAATATATTGGTGAAAGAAATATTTAGCACCCTCTCTTACAACGTTAAAATACGTTATAATTTCATTTTAGCAGTGTACTGTACGCCATTTAAAAATAATCTATAAATATGGATTTTATTATAGGTTTTTCTTCTAAAAATAGTACGATCTATTTAAAACCAGATGGCAGTAAGTATCTCAGGAATTCTAGCAAAATTTTAAATTGTGGACTCATGTATTAGTACTATTTTGTGGTATTTTATTACTAGAAATAAAAGCCTTATAAATATTTGTTAATAAAATGATTTGAAAAAGGAGAAATAAAATCCATTATATTTTTAATTATATCTTTAATCAACCTATAGTACTACATAATATGTGTAGATTTATGGTGTCATTCTACACTGGAAAAAGGATATGGTATTGCCATTTTTACACGATTTCTATTGCACTAAAATTATATAGACTAATGATCAATTTATGAGTTGTAAAAACCATTGGTAAAATAAAGACTATTGTCATGTTTTTGTCAACAAAAATGTGCTCGTGCAAGAAAATCATATAAAGCGCAGTGGAAACCGATATTTTTCCAAAATTTTGGAAATTTTAGGGTATTCTATCGCCAATAGAAATTCGCGAAATATGTCACTTGATGACATATTTCGCGAACAATTCTAAATCGTCACATAGCTGCTAATGTCGGTCAATAGCTAGCTATTGAGTATTCTATGTTGTTGTTTTAATAAATACACAATGAAAAACAAAATGGACTAGAAAAACTAAGAGGTTTTACGAAACAACCACCTTAAAACATAATTATTCCACAGCTTATGTACAAAACTTATCCTAGATTAAAAATCAGTATAAAACACAACGAAATTTATAATGAAACATAAATCTAAACTAAATTTTAATTGATTTGTACAATAATTCGAAAATTAAAGAAATAACTGAAACAGCTTGCTAAAAAGAATAGTATTTTATATTTTTATAAAGATCGAACACCACAACTGTATAAGCTGTCGGGTACACCAAAAAAAATATATATTTTTTTTCTTTTTAATTACCGTGAAAATATCGTTCACGATTATGAAAAAAAATCTGGTAATGTTTGAGCTCTTAATATTTATCAATTTAACTTTTTATTAATTCTTCTTTATCCATTTTTTTGTGATAAAATATAAAAAAATTGTGGAGGTTAACCTTTAATAACTCTCAAACGAGTCGATTAAATTAAAAATCATATTATACCCTTTGAAAAAGTGTTTCCTGTGTTAACGATACTTTCTCGGTAATTAAAAAAAAAGTACATTTTTTTGGTGCACCCTAATAAGCTGTTTTTAAGTTTTTCTTTAACAAAATCGAACATATATATATATATATATATAACCCGTTTCGTAAAACCTACAAAAAAATAGGGGCCTTATATAGGAGTTTTGGTGTTATTATATGGAATGTATATGTAAGTTAGAAAATCTTTTCATTTTCTTGTTGAATTTCTTCTTTGAAAACACTAAAATTTTGAAAATTCTCTGACTAAAAATGTGCTTCTAAATTATTTCAAAGATCCTGTATCAAAAGCTAAACATTTCATTTCAATTTAAGTCTCAAATTTTGGTATTTAATCAATGTTTTTCATGCACTATGCTGCATAGGGAATGTGATTTCGACTTTATCGTATATAAGACTCCTTCAAAAAACAATTTACAGTTACAATGTTGACTAGAATCTATACACAATTAACAATGTTTTAAGGCATTTTCGTGAACATAGATGTTTTCGATCACGACGACACAAGTTATCATCTAAAAATATAAATCTAAAGGGGGGACGTAGCTTCTAGATAGGGTAAGGGGGGCCTAAAGTATTCGTAATCAAAACTAAAAGCTTAGACGATCTACCTCGAAAAATAATAACAGTTCCATAGCAAAAGTGTTCCCAACAATACTAGGTATTATATAAATCTTGATGCCGAGTATATGTACACATTTATTTTAACAGTTCTAATATATAATATACTATCACTTGCGCATATTTTAACACAAAATTCCAAACCAAAATTTATGAATTTATCGTTTAGTTGCTACAAAATATTCACAATATCGGGTCACTTTATCAATTTACAGGAAGTATGCAATAAAAAACTAATTTGGAAGATTTACTTTAGATCCATGATACCAAATTTTTTATGTCCTCCAATTCTTATTATTTTTTCATACAAATATTAAAAAAAACAGTTTATATCACAGAATTTTCATTACGATTTTTAATTTTCACTTTAGTTATTAGAAGTGTGATATTTACTTGTAAACCTTCCAACCATAATCTCTTTCTTTAATATATATGTATAGATTTTGGGTTCTTTATGCTATAATATCTTTTACATAGATACATACAAACCATTTACAAAACATTATTATCTTACAAATTTGGTTCAAGAAGAAATTTTGCTTTTTCAGGACACTACAATGAAAATGAAATTATATCCTCACATCTTTGTTTATTTACACACAAATTCAAGTAGCATCACAAATCGGTATTAATATTTAATATAATTGTCTGTAAAAATTAGTTTCAATAAATTTTTGATTTAGTTTTTGCAAAAATGACCCCTCCTAGAATTTTTTCGTATTAAATATTTTTTTTTTGTTAATTTGTGACTGCTACAAAGCAGATACTTGTTTCAAAATGTTTGTCTTATAAAAAGATGAACATTTAAACGAAATAGATTTATATTTTGTACATTATTTATCAATCTGCTTCAATAACAGATGGCTTTATTTGTGCTAAAATATATTTTTTCAGATTTTTTTACCAAAATATAGTAGTATTGATAATATACATCTTTTTTTGTGAAATAATCTTTTAATTGATTCGTATTTGACCTGTGGTTAAGCTTACTGAATAGAAATCATCACAGATCGAACTAAAATAGTCAACTCTTCAAAAAACGATCTTCAACACAATATATGCGAAGCAGCTGTATGGATTGATTCAACCACTTCGTATAGAAAGAGGAAATTATCATCTACCCTAATTAATAAATATAATAAATTATTTATACATTGAGATATGACAGAAACAACAAAATCTACCAGATATTTACAATAAATACATATTCATTGATAAACATTTGATATAGTTATACATAATACCCAAATAAAATGAGGTACATGTTCATAAACAGCTAAATAAAAAGTAGACTTAGGTTTGATACAGCCAAAATAAAGGAATGTTTTTGGTAATATTGGTTTAATTAGTATTAGGTTTTTGCTTTTCTTAATAAAAACTTTTTGAAGATATTTGTACTGTTGGTGATTTTGAATGCCAGTTCAAATTACATACAAAAAGAATATATTCAACTCAAAAACCCCTTCTTTTACTCCTAAAACAACCGAGCTAAACTAAAGACATTTTTAATAATGCGTGAAAACTAAAAAAATATATAAATTTTAAATTAAAATATATCGAAAAAATAAATAAATGTATCACAGGATTGTAAAATTCGTATGATGCAAAAAATGTTGTTTTATGAGTAAGAGATCACATAGGAATACTAGAATAACATGTATAAGACTAAGTTCTGGATAATACATTGTCTGGACTAGGAATGAAAACTTATGATTAACGTGAAAAGTAGAAAAGCTAATACTTATTCTAAACGATTTTTATAAGACGATGTTTATATAGAGAAATTCAACTTGACTGACATTTGAAAATGCAAAAAGGTTTTTTTTATATCAATTGATGAACAAGAAAAAAAACGCGTCATAGTGGCCTTTGAGATGACAATCCATGATCATTTTATAAGCTTATAAAATGTATTTTCATAATATCGAAAGAATATTATAAAATGTATTTTTAGTTTAAAAATATAAAGACTAAATAAGAAGTGATTAAAAATTCAAATTGTCAATCAAGTGAAAATTGTTTTTTTAAACAAAATTATTTCATCAAATAAGACATTTGCAACTTTTTTGACGTGATATATACTTTTAATAAAATTTTAAAATATATTATTGGAACCGCAATTTTCGGGATATGGAATGATATTGTTAGTTTATAATTATTATTATCAATTTTAGCATAATATGCACTGTCAGACATTTATTTTTCTACATAACCCCCCATGTATTTATTTATTTTTTGGTAATATTAATTTTGTAGATGTGGAATGATAAACATTAAAAAATATTGTATAAATATGAAATAACACAGACATGGAATGTTAGTAATATATTATCACTTAAAAATTAAATCTAGAAAAAATATATTGGTATAAATAATTATACCAAAAATATGTGGAATAAGTTTTAACAAATATTACAAAAAAAAGAGTCCACTAATAAATATGTTAAAGAAGTTAGAAACTATCTTTTTATTATAAAAATCATATTGCTTATAAGTTATTTTGATATATATATTTTTTTTTCAAAAATGTTTTCAAATGTGTTTGTGTATTGCAAATGTCTTTTATTTGATATTACGTCAATTACTAACCGAAACCTAAAATAGTGCGATGAAAGATTGTCTTAACGATTGGAGGTCTGCGAAATCATTAAAATGCTACTGAAAGTCTTTTAAGAAAGTATCGGGGTAGGTCAAATACAGTGAATCTACGAATCTATAGTTCTTTTGAGTTTGGCGCTTCACCAAAACTTCAGTGTCACAGCAGCAAGAGATGGCGGTCTCGGAACGCATGTCACAAGACGTCATCATTGTCGTCTACGTCATTGTCAAGGTCTCCATCCTGGTCCAAGTCGTCTTGGTCCATGCCTGGAGACATCTGCTGGTGCATCATGCCTTGACCGGACTTGGGATCTTCGTCTTTCCACTTGTCCATCGATCTTCTTCGAGCGTTCATGAAGAAGTTGCCAACGGTGGTAGGTTCCAGACCCAGCTGTCTTGCAATGGTCACTTGCATCTCTTTTGAAGGTCGTTTGGTCTCCTGCAACATATATAAACCATTAAATTTAGGACTAAAAGACGAAATCGTGTTTTTTGTAACTCCAAATAAATATTGTTGGCCTCTGCTCAATATGATAAAAAAACGGCGTCAGCGATTGTTATAAAATGAAAATCGCTGTCATGTTATGTGTAAAATTATATGGGCAATGTCATCGATGTTCATTTCCAAGCGAACTGGATGCCATTTTTTTTTCGGTCATGCGGTATTATATACTATTTATTATATGATTATTAAATCGGAATTAAAATGTGGCTCTAAAAATATTATATTTATATTTAGAAGACTTTAATAAATAGTATATACCGGGTGCGTCTCAAAAGTGGCTCACGCCTATAACTTTTTTATTTTTTTAGATAAAAAAAATGAGATTTGGTTTGGTAAGGTTAGGTATTCAGTTGTTTTTGGTCATTTCATCTTTCAGCGGAAATGACAACAAATTTTGATTTTTAAATGGCACCCTCGGTATTTTTTTACTTTATTCTATAGAAAATGACATATATGTCAAATTTTCACATTCTCGCTTAATAAAAAATCGTATTTTAAAATTCATTCTAGAGTGGCATGGCTATGTTAAAAACACTAATTCTTTATCAAGGAGCCTTGGAAAAATAGATTTGATCGTCTAATGTTTTTAGTGTCTTGTCCTGGCCAGTTAGAATTTGATCAAATCGTATTTTTAATCATATCTCATATTTTTCAAATGGAACGAGGGTGGCTCATTAGCATATTTGGAAAAAGCATTTTTTTACGAATAATTTGATACCACACACTTGGTATTTCGAGTCAAATTTTTGTTACCGCAATTTATAATTTCAAATAAATCATATGCGGAAATGTCAAAAGTTGACAAATGATATGTCATTCTATTCAGAGTGTTATTTTCTACCGAATAAATTAAAAAAAATACCGAGGGTGCCTTTTAAAAATGAAAAGTTGTAAAACGGTGAAACAGGAAGTGACCGAAAACAATTGAATACGTCAATCAATCTTAATTTATGTCATATACTAACATACCAAATCTCGTTTTTTTAATTGAAAAAATAAAAAAGTTATAGGGGTGAGCCACTTTTGAGACGCACCCGGTATAAATTGGATTGATAATTTAATATTATTTGTAAAAAAAGCAAATGAAGGAACTGTATATTTCTTTTTCTGGTCCCTTAAGAAATTATCCGGCCAAATTATCGCCAGTAGTGCCAGTTACGATTCTTGTTTTTATGAAACGTAAATTGTGCATGTGGTTCGTTCAAATGAACGAATCGTAGGAGTCGATTAAGTATGAGAAATTGAATCGTGTGAATCGTAATGCCCATCACTAATGGGCACCTTTAGTTTCTGTAACTACCGGACTAAATCTAAGTCTGCTTGTAAGTTTGTTTTATTTATGACTTCCGGAGTGGAGTTGTGCATCTTTTTCGCGCCACAACTCCAAATCAATATTCTAAGTCGGGAACTTGCCGCTAGGGGGAGCGCGAGTGTTTTTTCTTTCGTATTTCGCAACCAGCGTAATTTCATCTGGTGAATTTCCGTAACCCCGATTACGTCAACATGTTTTTGGTCGGTGCGCATTTCATCGGATAAGATAAATAACCCTTTATTTCCCTCAAAACTCTGTTATTATCAAGCTTCTCAATTCGTTCTCAAAATTACCCCAATTATTTTAGTCTTCTTTTATTGTCATGAATTCCACATGCATTCTCGTCGTGTAGTTTCATAGAAATTATTTTCAAAATCCAAATTAGTTATTAAATTTTGATGAATTAGAGACAAATATTAAAAATAAATAAAATACAGCACTTAAGCACATAATAGGTAAATCTTACCTATTCTGTGCGGACGTCTTAAATGAAGTATATGTTTTAAACCGTTTTTTTTTCTTGGTTTAGGTAAAGATGAAAAAATATTGGTGAATTATTCTTACCTTAAAAATAGCCTGCAGAGTACGCCTCTGGAGGTCTGTAAAAACAAGACGAGGTTTCTTGGGCGTAGGTATTTGTTCCGAATTGTTCGAAGGGTCCTCTTTCCGTTTGCAACCTGGCAATTCATTAAAATCTTTTTGATTATTCTTTTTAGATGTTCTCTGGCCAATTTTTCTGGTTAGTTTGTTCAATTTATTTACAAGAACACTCACATCTTTCAATTTCTTAATTTTAACCATTTTGTTTTAAAGGGCTACCCTATATATTATGGTATTCTAGGAAACACCTTAAAATTTTCATGTGTCTATTTTTATAAAGTTCAATATAATATTTAGTTCTATGATCGTAGGCCGATTTTGGTGATTTTTTAGTCTAATTTTCTAAATTAGACTAAAAATTAAAAATTAATAATTAATTAATTTTCTAAATTTCTTAATGTGATAGGTGATCCGAATTGGATTCGGGAGACTTCCTCAACATATTCTGCAGATAAAAATAAGTAAAACAGTTCATATAAGGTTATGTCCTAAAATGCTTTGTTTCGGAGATACAGGGTGGAGAAGTTTCGTGTTTATCTCGGTTTTTTCCTAATAATTTCTGAAATAACGTCGATATTTGGATGAAAGTTGGTGTCTGTGTATTTTGTGATATGAGAAATTTGATTTCGATGTCATTATGACTTCTGTTTGAAGGGGGCGCCACCTACACGTTTTTTAACTGATTTGAAGCGTATATTATACTTTTTTGTCCGTACTTGTATAAAACTACTGAGTGTAATACATTTCCGTAATTTTCTACGTCTCTTGGTAAAAATCGTTACGAACAACCTTTTTCGAGATATTTGGAATGGAAATACATGTTATTATTGACAAAAAATGTTGACTAGATTTTTTATTTTTTTAAGCTAATCATGAATAAAAATACGATTTATACAAAAACTTTTCAAATTTATTATTTCAGACTGCTAACTATCCAGTCAACATGTATAATTTTTGTCAATTATGACATGTATTGAGTATTTCGATTCCAAATATCTTGAGAACCATTACTCGTAGCGAGTTTTTAATGAAAATATGTAGGTGGCGCCCCCTAATGGTAGGAGTTATACTGACATCGAAATTGAATTTCTCATATCAAAAAATACCCAAACACCAATTTCCATCCAAATATCGGGGTTAGCTAAGAAATTATTTGAAAAAAATCGAAATAAAAATGAAACTTCTACACCCTGTATCTCCGAAACGAAGCATTTTAGGACATAAATTTACACGAACTTTTTTACTTATTTTTATCTGCAGAATAAACTGCCGAAGCTTCCCGAACAAAATTCGGACCACTCTGTAGAGTATAGAGTTTTTAAGTATAGGATATTCGAAAGATATGAATGTTCTTAATATTTTTATGAAAAATACTGTAATTTTACTTACTGCCTCGTTGGGGGATCTGCGCAGCTGCAACAAAACAATTTACGTTATTCGAAATAATCAAAAATTTATAGAAAATACAATATCCTGGTATAAGAATTTAATAATGCATGTTCATAAACGGGACTAATTTTTGCTGACGCTACCAATCAATTTGTCTTCGAATATAAATAATTCAAGCAGATATTATACTCCGATGAATTTATTTAATTAAAACCGGCGAAGTTTGTAACCTTGGACGGAAAATCGATATAACTGACGTGGTGGTCTAGTCAAATTTTCTCAAGCATTTGGAAAATGCAAGAGTTCCCGCAAAGTTCGTTAACATCGATAATCATTTAACATACATAAACATACATGCGTGTGTGTTTTTTTCTGTAACTTTGTGTGGACAAAGAAAAAAAAAACGTTTTGTTTGAGTCAAAAAAATAATTGTTCATGCATACAGAAGCTATTATTTGAAGCATTGTCAGAAATTTGGCGCTAAAAAATACAGTTTTAATGTCATAAGCGTATCTTATCATGCAAGAGATGCCTGTGAAACATTTAGAGACATTTAGACTCACAAGCATGACGCAGAAGGGGGTTTTCTTCTCTTGCTGTTGACTGCTCTCACGTTTACATTGCGGATCTGGCAGTCTGCAATGAAACAAGAGAGAAGTCAACAACATCAAATCATGATAATATACAGAACAGTTCAAAATACACATAATATAAGAAATAGGGTTTCGCAACTTCGTCTTTTGATGAGTTCTGTATTAATTATTTCAATATTCTTTAAATTTTCGTATTTTACAAAACTCACCAAACGTTTTTTCAAAGGGCACAACTTTTAAAAAGGAAATATAAAAAATAGCATCTTATCACTTACCTCTGTACCGAATTTTTATTATGATCCTTACATATTCATGCTCTATAGTGCACTGATAAAATTATTACTAATAAAGACAAAAAATATGTAAGGAAAATGTTAAACATGATATTGATAAAGGCAATTTATAATTCCATATAGGTATACAGGGTTGTTCAAAATTGAACATACCACACGGAGCTAAACGATGAGATTTTTACAAATTGTAAGTTTTGGGTTTGATGAAGGACTATTAGAGGTACAATTTAAAAATAATTTTACAAGATACAGAGTGTCCCAAATAAGTAAAAAATATCAAAGTTGTATTTTTTTAAATGGAACACCCTGTATATTATTACATTTTTAGTTTCTACGATTAAAATAAAGGTAAATTTGATTAAGATTTATTATACTTACCGTTTTTGAAATATTTTCAATTTTGTGAAATTGCAGTAAAAATTTTAAGGCTTCATTTCTCCAAGGGTATCAAAATTTTTGATACTAAATATTTACTGAAGTTTATTTAGTGATCAGTTATTGTGTAGTAATAATAAAAATAATACTACCTTATACAGAGTGTCTAAAAATTTATTTTAAATAATTATTAGCTTCAAACGGCAATAACTTGTTTAATTTAAATGGAACACCCTGTATATTTTACTAGAATCAGATGCACAATTTAATTGTCTATCAAATTATATTAAACCATTTTTTACCTATCTCTTTAAGTTTCCGTAGAAAATGCATTTTCTTGTAATTTAGAACTTATTTATCAATATACCCATGGACTATTGACATTTTAGGTCATTTTTAAAGATGTACCAAATTTTTAAAGAGTACAGATACTAATATTGTCGATATAATTCGTTTATTTCATTAAAAAATAAAAAAAAAACTGTTTAAATATTTGTTAAAGAGGACCAATTAATATGATGCCGTATTCAAACTACATTAACTGACTGTTTGCGTTGATTAATAATAATTGCTCCAAATACTAAAAAACTGAATTTTGTATGGGCATTAGACAGTGTGATAAAAAGTAACACCTTAAAAATGATATTTCATTTTTTAATAAATGCTTATTTATAACAACAAAGACTTTAATTTGATAACTTATTATTATATTGATTTCTGACTCAAATCCACATTTATTTATAATAATTTATTAACGAACACAATTAAGTATGTAATTAATTAGTATATGGGCGGAAATAATGTGTTATATTTAATTAATGGTATACTATTTAAATCTTTTATAAAGATTTAAATAGTTTTCTTTTTGCATACAAATGGTTAGTAATATTATCGTTTTGCTAAAAACGATAATATTACTAGTCTGTACATTTTATACATTTGTTGCTTTAAAAACAATCTAAAATGTCAATATTCCATGGATATATTGATAAATGAGGTCTAAATTATAAGAAAATGCATTTTCTACGAAAACTTGAAGGGATAGGTAAAAATGGTATAATACAATTTGATAGACAATTTAATTGTGCATCTGATTCTCCTAAAATATACAGGGCATTCCATTTAAATTAAAGAAGTTATTGCCCTTTTGAAGCTAATAATTATTTAAAATAAATTTTTAGACACTCTGTATAAGGTAGTATTATTTTTATTATTGCAACACAATAACTGATCAATAAATAAACTTCATTAAATATTTAGTATTAAAAACATTGATACCCTTGGAGAAATGAAGCTTTAAAATTTTTACTGCAATTTCACAAAATTGAAAATATTTCAAAAACGGTAAGGTTTAAGTATAATAAACCTTAATCAAATTTCACCTTTATTTTAATCGTAGAAACTAAAATGTAATAATATACAGGGTGTTCCATTTAAAAAAATACAACTTTGATATTTTTTATTTATTTGGGACACTCTGTATCTTGTAAAAATATTTTTAAATTGTAGCTCTAATAGTCCTTCAACGAACCCCAAACTTACAATTTGTAAAAATCTCATCGTTTAGCTACAATACTCCGTGTCGTATGTGGTGAACAACCCTGTATATAAATACCAAACCAATAAATCTATAAATAGAAACAAAAAAAAAATAATGAAATAAACAAAATTGTAAATTTATCATAAATATTTAAATAAAAATAAATAAGGGTAATAAAACATAATAAATTGATATTACTACCCCAATATAACTGGATATACAAAAAGATAATTAAGTAACTATAAGAAAAAAAAAAGACAAACAAATAGATAACAAATGAAGTGGAATGATATAAGAAGTTATTATTAAAGGTTAAATTGAAAATCAATAGAATTTTTAGGAAAGTCCGTCTGTCTTAGAAAAAGAATTGTCACTTATCTGGGTCAATTTTTTGAGTGATGAGAATTTTTATTGCACTGACTTTGTAGGATTAGTTGAATTGTTGTTTGAAAGCTTTTAATTAAAATTAAATAATTTGTTGAATTGATTTATAGGTTTCTTTAACAGTTCCTTTCAGTAAGATAACTTGTGTTTCTTGAAACAGTTTACATAAATATAATATAATAAGAATAAATATAAATTATAGGTCTAGGAATATTGGTAAACATCATTACTAAGGGTGTATATGCTTTTTCGTCATAAGGAAAGCTTGTTTTCTATGACACGAGCTTACATTTCAGAGCCTGTCTATTGGTGTGAAGGTGAATCATCAGACAGCTATCGATTTTTCCATGCTTTCAGTTTTCCGTGCTTTCAGCACATATAAACGCAACGTTGCCGCTTTTTTGATAGGAAAATTCGACATATGACAAGATATTTTGTTTCGTTATTTATATTGCCTTCAAAAAAAATCGGTACAAGTTTAACTAAGCGTACAATTTACTACTTCTACTTGAAAAATATGTAATTGTTAAACGCGCCTTGCTTTTGTATAAACCGGTTTATTTTGAATTAGAAAAGGGGTCCTGAATTTTTCTATATCCCCTGTATAAAACAAGCTTTCTTTCTTGTATTATTTGCGTCTTTGAAATATGGCTCGGAAAACATTTTAAAACCTGAATGCTTCATAGGGGTATTAAAAAATGATCAAAGTTGTGCGCTGTGGTTGGAAAGCTCTTATTCTGGAAAATGCTTTGATTATAATCGAACTTTTGAACGCAGTGTGTAAAAAATCTGTTGATAAAATCATTCATACGAAGAATAAAAGTGATTAAGCTTTATGAACGAGCTCTGTGAAAAAAATGCGGCACTATCAATGTCATTAAATGATAAAACATGTTGTTTTGTAATTATGTGTATGTTGTTATAAAAGAGCATTTTGCTTTGAATGTTTTATGGTGGAACTGTTGGTTCAGGTCTCACCTGCACTGAGTACCCGCACGGTTGTAGTAATAGACGCGACCCTTTATTTACTTAATTGATAGTTCCAACATGTAACGAAAAAGCGTGGAATTTTGATAAGCAAAAGAATATAGTTTTTATTTTAGATTCTTTATATTTCGTAGTATGCGGGCCATTTAATACATCCGCTTTACGAAACAAATTCATTTGACTTGTGGATGTAAACAGACATGTGTGTACTAACCTGCTAATCGCAGAGCGGACATTCTCTGGAATTCTGGTTCCTGTAACCATTTCCACATCCTTCTGAAGGTTTCTCGGCCTGACTTGAGTTTTGACCAAGGTTTTGGATTCCTCAGGAGGTCCGAAAGAGTCCCCTGGGACCGACACAATACTCTCTGGGCGAAGATGGCTTGGGGAATGCTGTACCTCTTCAACTCAGCACTTATCTTTTGGGCCAACTCTTTGGTGTTGATTTCTTCTACGTCTGTAGGAATAGCAGACACTGTAAGAGAGCCAGAACTGCCATTTTTGATTTGTAAACTACCATGCTGACTTTGCTGTTGCTGGCTTTGTTGGTGTTGGTTACCTGGAGGTGTTTGCTGCAGCGTAACCACGGGTGGCGAAGGCGAACAATCGCGTTGGGGAGGTGCAATTTGCACGAGCGTTGGGGGATGGTTTTGCAGTCCCAGTCCGTTGAGCGTGGTCTGTCCACTAAAACTAGTCACTAGCGTGCCTTCAGGCGAGTTCAGGGATCCCGAGCCTGGGGGGCTCAGCTGAGGGCTGTGCAAAGTTCGGCTCACTATTTCACCTTGTCGGGCACCGTACGGCGAGTCGTAGCCCTGCGGAGAGAGGCTCTTCTGCGGCGAGGGCAGCCCGTTTTGGCTATAGGCGCTCTGGGGACTGATGGGACTCGCCTGCTGCTGCAGACCCATGCTAGGCGATGAGTAGTTGTGCGGCGGGGTCATCTCGATGTTGTTCATGGTGTAGGGCGCGCTGGCATTGAGCCCGATGCCAATACCCTGGATGCTGTTGTTCTGCATGACTGCGAAAGAGCCGGTAACGTTGCTGGCATGGCCGTAGGCGAACTTGTCGGACACGGTGGAGATGGGCGGCAGCGGTTGCAGCGGAGTGAGCGTGGCGTACGAGGAGCTGGGACTGTAGCCTGCCGGGGACATCCTGCCGTTGACGGTGGTGAGCGTCTGGTAGGTTGGCTCGGGATTGAGCCCGCGGTAGTCATTGGTGTCGATCATCACCGAGCTGGGCGACAGCTTGGGGCTGAGCAACTCGGACTCCCGGGACTCTTCCTGTGGCTGCACGATGACGGACAGAGGGCCATCGGCGTCCTCCTGTTTGACAACACGGCGCTCGACCACGGCGCGTGACAGCACCCTCATCGTGGTCACGACTCGCGTCTCCATGCCTCCGGTGAGGACGGCGTGCGTGTGCGCCGCGGCGCCTGCCGCCGAATCGACCGCCTGCTCGCCGAGCGTCTGCTGCTGCCCGATCAGGCCTTCCATGGTGCCATGCTCGCTAGGGGGGCAGCTCACCATGCGGGGGACCGCGGCTCATGCCCTGCGCGACGGGGGCGCCCTACGAGTCCTGGGACTGCGCTGACGACCGGCCCGTGGCCATTGCAGCCGCCGAAACGATTCCGAACCCGCACTCGCACTCGCACTCCACACTTGCTTCGATCAGGCGGTGGTGAATTCGATCAGCGTGAGCGTTCTCCGATTGCAGCTCGGTAGCCGGTCGATACTGGATTGAATGGGGGAGCGGGCGACGCCAGGTGGTTTGTGCGCGCGTCCCTCCCGACCCTCGGCCTCGTGCTGCGCCCGCGGGCTTCCGCGCCGTCGTTTCCTCCCCCGGCTTCCCGCCACGATGCCCTGCTTTCAGCCCTCGAAGGGTCGCACCGACGTGCTGGCCTGGCCTGGCTCTCCTTCCCTTTGTCTGCTTCACGTTCACAACAAACCCCGTTTCTCCGTCTTCTGTCGCTTCGTCCCTCTCGCACTCAAATTTGCCTCCTTTTTGCGTCTCGACCGTTACTTACCAAACATAATCGCCTATACTTCTTCCTGGGAACAAACAAAAAATATTATTTATCATAAATACCGTATTTTAATTACTTTTTTTAAGTACTATACCCAACAACCCCCTTAACCTGACACTCTTTATTTTTTTTTGAAATTATTACGAAATTAATTAACTCTTAGGGATTTCGCTAATGCTATTATCTATATTAATTAACTTAATTAAAAATAACTTTTTGTATTTTTTGTAGCATATTTTAAAATTAGTTAATTTGCTAATTTTCAGAGATGCCCGCTAATGCAATTATTTATATTAAATTTAATTAAAAATGAATTACCTAAAACTTTATGAAGAATTACAGTACTTTTTACGTGTTCTGGATTAGATTAAATTAAAATTAAATTAGAAACACTGCTATACACTACTTCATGTAAACTGAAACGTTTTTACATTTTAATATTTTCATATAAGTTCATCCATATAAAAATATTTCAACTGTCTATTTGATTTCTTTTTACTAGTCTATGTGGAAGCCTTATATCTGATAACCCATTTAGGGTAAAACATTGCCTTCCTTTAAACATGACTAGTCACACGTACATATTATTTGTAAAAATAGAGGGCTTAATTTTGTTTTCGTTTATAGACCAAGCTTATTTTTGTACGTGCTTTAATATTTTTCTGCTGTACATTAAAAAACTTGCACGAAAGTATTTAAAATCTCCCTACCAAAATATTAATATATTTAATGTATAAATTTAGTTCACTATTTAATACAATATATTATAAGAACAAAATAATATTAGTTAAACAATATATAAATATAGGAAGTCTCATTGTTTTTCAGCTTGATTATATACATATATCTGTGTACACCGATAAGGCTTAATGTTAAAAACAAATAAGCTCGTGTGTTATCAACATATGTTCCCCTTAAATAACTCTCTGCACCTGGTTTTGTTGAAAACCCTCACAGAAGGGTAAATGACTTACTAAAAATTGCGTCACTACAAACAGAAAGCTTTCACGTTAAGCGCTAATTCCTATTTAGATTTTGTTCATTTTCATTTTAATTCTTGCTGTAAAATATTTCGTTTTTAGAAAGTATATATACTGCCCTCTGCATTTTCCAGTTGTAGTTAGTTAAAACATTGATTTTCCACGAGTTCAGCTCCATCTGTTGCCATTTTCCTCCAATTCGTTCGGGAAATCCATACTCTCAAAGCAGATTTTCCTTAAAGCTAATCGAAATATGGCTAAATCAAAGCTCAGTAATTACTGTAAGCTCAAAAAGAGAACTTTTTTAACATTGAATCGTGTTATTGAATATTATTTGAATTTTCTGCCAATCTCAATTACTAGAATATCAATATGATGGCGTTCGTTGTAGTAAACTCTAAAAATAATATTGAATACATTTACATATTTGCATATTTTTCGACCAGGTGTTAATATATGTTTATTTAATAAAATCAATTTTTATTTTTAATTGAACATTTATTTTAAATTATTTTAATGTATTACAACTTTTCTCTTTGAATTTTATAATTGCTAGACCTATTTTAAAGGCGTTTAAAAAGTTTGAAACCCTATATTACAGTAAGGGCTAGTGAAGTTTCACACAAAAATAATAAATGAATATATTAAGGCTTTAGAATTATATTTTATAGTTTGGTAAATTATATTTTAGTAATTTTATTGGGTATATATAGTCAGTAGATAAAGTAGAATCGGCTGTGTGATCAATAAAATTCAAAAGTATCGACCACCAGGTAGAGACAGTTCAATAATAAGCAAGAAAAAGGGATATACCTTCTTGGTAAATTCGTGTTTCTTTACAAGGGATTGTAAAAACAGGGACTAACCATAGGGTATCTATTTATCTTGAATAGTATTGGAGAAATATGGTTTCTTCTGAAATCAATAACGGTTTTAATATACAGGGTGATTTTTGTAGAACCCAAATACATATATTCATTTACTTAAGCCTCATTCAGAACCTGGCAATTAGTGGTTTCATTTAGCGTAGAAGTTTGTTCCTTTAACTTCAATGTAAGCATTCAGAACGTCCAAATTAGTGGTAGACATTTTTAATTAGTAGACAAAGTTATCAAACTTTTAACTTTTCCACTAATTATACTTCAAAATTTGCGAGAAATGTCATTTTGGACTTTGAATATCTTCCATCATGAGAAATTGTAGTTAGAAATCAAAAGTTGATTGTTTTATAAGCTAAATATTGGGCTTTCTCTATGGATACAGTTGACTACCGATCCAAGGTGTTGCTAGGATATGTTTTTTAAACTTTGTGAATGATCGTAAATTAAAAAGTATAAAGTGTAATTGAAACCACTAATTACGAGGTTCTCAATAAAGCTTTAGATAATATTAAATTACTGATGAAGTATTATAACCTTTAGTTTATGAATTGTAAAAACTCATTATCAACCTGATTTAATTCAAGTAAGTTATTTTTATTGGACTTTTCAAAACATATACTTATATTTTATATTAATATGAAAATCAGTGGCCAGGAAACTTCTTGGTATTTTCACTTCAGTAATTTTCTATCTAAACGTTATTTGGCTTTTTGTCTGTGCAAATAAAACAGGAAAAAAATTGGAAACATGCCGATGCGTTATGTCAATCGGAAGTTAATCGAGGAAATGGATATTTTCTTTTAATTCCCCTGGGATGAAACACAAATAATAAATGCCTGCTCATCGGTGGAACTTTTTTTATAGAAATATTGAATTTTTGCTGACTTTGTATCTATGGAAACCACACGCAGATAGGGATAGTCTTAGTTTTTCTTATAAAAATATGTCTCTTTGATTTTTTTTACCAGTGAAAATACGTAAATTATTAACATTTCAATATTTTCTTTGCTTGACGACTGTGATGCCATAAAAGTTCTAACAAGCGTCAGTTAGAATTACCCTCTCTTTCTTTTGTGTCTCATATTTAAATAGGGGTCCTATAAACACCTTACTTTTCTGAAACCCATTTTACAGCTTTAGTGTTTGCCAGGTAGTAAACTCATTCCAATATTCTCAATAGAAATATCACAAAGTGGTAAAGGTACTGATCACTGTTACATTATATTTATGTTTAATTGCTGTTATGTTGATATTGTTAAAATAAATATATTTTTTTTATGTTGGCTAAATGGTTAGATTGTTAAATCGATATTCAATTTCTGAGGGTGCATTTTAGAAATCACACGAGTGTGTCTAATTTAAATATGGGAAATGAATATGAACTTTTGATTAAAGCAGTAGTAAAAGCGACTCCAGGTGGTCTAAAATCACCCTTCCCATACACCTGGAACATATCGCTCCGTTTAATACAGGGAATTATGCGGAAATGTTCAGTTTATATTAACTATTCTCAATTAAAAAATAAGGCTATTAGATTTAACGCGTTTCCGTATACAGGGTTGTTCACCACATACGACACGGAGTATTGTAGCTAAACGATTAGATTTTTACAAATTGTAAGTTTTGGATTCGTTGAAGGTCTATTAGAGCTACAATTTAAAAATATTTTTACAAGATACAGTGTGTCCCAAATAAGTAAAAAATATTATAGTTGTATTTTTTTAAATGGAACACCCTGTATATTATTCTATTTTTGGATTCTACGATTGAAATAAAGGTAAATTTGATTAAGGTTTATCACACTTAAACCTTACCGTTTTTGAAATATTTTCAATTTTATGAAATTATAGTAAAAATTTTAAGGCTTTATTTCTCCCAGGGTATCAAAGTTTTTAATACTAAATATTTACTGAAGATTATTTATTGATCAGATATTGTGTTGCAATAATAAAAATTTTACTACCTTATACAGAGTGTCCAAAAATTTATATTATATAATTACTAGCTTTAAACGGCAATAACTTGTTTAATTTAAATGGAACACCCTATATATTTTACGTGAATCAGATGTACAATGTAATTGTCTATGAAATTGTATTATACCATTTTTCACCCATCTCTTGAAGTTTTCGTAGAAAATGCATTTTCTTATAATTTTGACCTCATTTATCACTATACCCATGGAATATTGACATTTCAGATTTTTTTATAGCACCATAATATGTACAAAATATACAGGTGGTAAATATTGCAAGCCCATTTGCATACAAAAAAACTATTTAAATCTTTGTAAAAGAGTATACGAATTAAATATATCACCATTATTTCCTATAAAAAAACACCAAAAGTTAGTTACATACTTGTAAATTGTTTTAATTAATAAATTATTCTAAATAAATGTAGATTTGGCTCAGAAATCAATATAATAATAAGTTGTGAAAATGAATGTCTCTGTTTTTATAAATAAGCATTCGTCAATAAATGAAATAAAATTTATAAGCTGTTACTTTTTACCACACTGTCTAATATACACATAAAATTCAGTTTTTTAGTATTTGGAACAGTTATTACTTTAACGTAAACAGTCAATTTAATGTAGTTTGAATACTGGGATCATATTAATTGGTCCTCTTTAACAAAAAATATTTAAACAGTTTTATTTTTATTTTTTAATTAACTAAGCGAACTATATCGACAATATTAGTATCTGTACCCTTTGAAAATTTGTCACATCGTTAAAAATAAGCTAAAATGTCAATATTCCATGGGTATACTGATAAATGAGGCCTAAATTATAAGAAAATGCATTTTCTATGAAAACTTGAAGAGATGGGTAAAAAATGGAACAATACAATTTGATAGACAACTACATTGTGCATCTGATTCACGTAAAATATATAGGGTGTTCCATTTAAATTAAACAAGTTATTGCCGTTTAAAGCTAGTAATTATTTAATATAAATTTTTGGACACTCTGTATAAGGTAGTAAAATTTTTATTATTGCAACACAATATCTGATCAATAAATAATCTTCAGTAAATATTTAGTATTAAAAACTTTGATACCCTTGGAGAAATTTTTTTACTGCAATTTCATAAAATTGAAAATATTTCAAAAACGGTAAGGTTTAAGTGTGATAAACCTTAATCAAATTTACCTTTAT